CCCGTGCGGGTGGGAGTGGTGGAGCTGCAGCCCTGTGCTCTACGAGTACTGCTCCTGCGTGCCGCGGCGGCTGTGCCGGGACGGTGTCCAGCACTGCCTCGCCTGGTCGGATGAGTTGCTCTGCACACCGTGAAGTCTTGGCCCCCAGCAGCAACGGAGAGGGCGAGGTGCTTCCTGCATTGTCACCTGTAAGCCTTGGTGTCCTCCTGCTCTGCCACCCGCCTGGGGAGCTCCAGCCCAAGAAAATCCTCCTCATCAGCACTCTGACCAGCCCACGCTGACACTGAACACGGGTGGAGTGTGTATGGCAGCCCGTGCTGCAGGCTAGACACCCTGGGAGTGGGACACCTTCAAGGGTTCTGTCATGTGAGGGTGAGTCCTTTCTCCACGGGCAGGGCACTGGCTTGCAGCATTGTCTCCACTGGTCGTGTGCCGGGTGCTGGAGACTGTTTACCAGCTGCTGCCAACATAGATACTCTGTCTGGCCAACCCTGGGCAAGGGGTTTCTCCTGTATGGACATGCTGGTGCCTTTGCAGGCAGCCGGATGCAGCAGGTACCTTGAGGACTACTCTAAAGAGTAGGAGCTGAGTGAGCTGAGCCTTTCTAGCCCTTGGGTTAGTCCTGCTGGCTGACCTGTCTTCACGCTCCTGATCCTCACGGGCAGGAGGAGAAGCTTGTGTTTGTGTTCAAAGCACATCTGCAGATTTGCAGCAGATGAAGAGCAGAGCTTTGAAGGCTCTGCCTTGATGCTTCCAGGATGCTTCCATGGGAACGTCGTGCTGAAGATGACACCGTGGGGAGCTGCTGCACAGGCCACCTCCTGTGCTATTCTCAGACCATGAAGGCCAATATGGAGAGTGTAATGGCAAGGAAAACTTTAAGTGGAGAAATTTCAGGGTCTGTGGGCATAAATCACTGTGTCCCTGTGACTGTGTAGCTGCAAGCCAGGGCAGGGAACCAGCATGTGTATAAAACATACTTCCCTCAGAGCTGTGCAGTTTTGGAGCAGCAGCTTAGGAGCTTGGGAACAGTCCTGGGGCTGGGACACGTTTATGCTGAAGCTGGCAAAGAAAGGAGGAAAAAAAAAGTCACAGCCTGAGAGCAGGAGAAAACCCAAGTGTTGATCATAGGGCAGTGTGGAATGACACAGGATCTGTTCATTGCTTGTTTCACTCCTCTGCCAGCAGAGCAGGATCAGGCAGCCAAACCTTCAAAACAGTTCTCAGGATATAGATATGGATGTGCCACTAAAATGTAAGAAAGATGTGATCTTTCTCTGCTCCTTTGAAAAATCTCATCTATGTCTAAATCACTATCTCTGAGAAAATCCCCCATTTACAGTGGGTGCACTTCCTTTTCTTGGCCCAAAATCAACATCAGGTGATCATCTTCCCACCACCATCCCAGGTCATAGATATTTAAAAACAAAGCTCTGTTCACTCACTTCCTCTCTGTCCAGTGATGTGCAACTCTGCATGTCACCATCCCTTGTATCAATGGTGAATATTACTTCTAATTTGTCCCTAGGATACAGCTGTAGATCTGAGAGATCTTTTAAAAATAAATTTACAGTATTCTGACTCATGCTTCACCTGGAATGAAATGGCAAAACTCTGCATGATGGAACCAGTGCTTTGGGAAGCTGTTAAAGCCACATCTAGTAACCTGTCCTTGTCTGTGCCTGGCTGGCTTGCTCGGTGAAATGCTGCTGTGGGACATCTGGGGCAGCAGCTCAGAAGATAAGTGAGGAGAAGTTTTCTAGGTAAACGTTTCTCACTTGCAAGCTTCCAGCCTCAATCAGAGTGTGAAATCAAGGTGCACATTTTTACTGCAGAGTCACGGCCATCCAACCCTTCAACAAGGCTGAGTTGGGTTGGTAAATAAAGTCTGGTTTATCACAGTTGCTGTCGTTCCTCTTGTTCCCCCAGAGTATATCCTGGGGCAACCAAGGAGGAAGTCTTGCAGCATTTCATAAGAGAAGCTCATGGATGGGTGATTCAGAGGCAGTGTTGCTGGGGCAGCCTCCCCTTCCTGGGGAAGAGGAGCTTCTTTCTGACTCTGATTTGGCTCAGCCGTGCCCCCTTTGCCTGATCCTTAGCTTTGAAAGTGGGAGGATGCACAACAAGCTCTCTGCATTGGGTGGGGCAGGGGGGCTACAACTGCTGAACGTTTCTATGGGGCAGCTGTCAGAGAAAGGTGGGAGAGGAGGGAAACAATCTCATCCCTCGTGGTGGGAGCTGTAGATGGATGACAGAACAACTGTAGTTGGTAAGGAGTGAACTAATCAGATGTAAAAAAAACCAAAAAGAAACCCTTGTGCTCAGTGTAAGGCCCAGCTGGTGTGATTGATGAAAAACAATTTGCTTTGTACCAAAGATTATTGGGACAGCGATGACTTTCTGGAGCCTCTGGTGTTCGCTGTGCTTGGCAAGAGGATGCTGGTTAGGCTGGCCCACATGGCAGCTGCCATATTCTCCCAGTCCCATGTTTGTTGATCATTGCCATAGCTCACCTCTGCCAAGCTTCAAGGTGCTCCCAAGGGTGGAGAGAAGGGGGTCAGGGCATGCAGCGTGTGAGCGTGGGGAGTCGGGTGGCTGTGCTTGCTGTGTGCAAGGCTGCTTCTCCCCCACAGCAGGGGTTGATGTCCCCATATCAGTGTGCAGTGAGAGCTCCTGGGAGGCCAGAGCTGTGACCCATGGCCTGAGGTTAGGAGAGAGGAATCAGGGACTCATCCTGTCCTGGATTTACTCCTGTGAAGACACCAGCCAAGAGAGATGGAGGAAGCAGCTGTTCATGGGCAGCAAGACTTGGAAGCCAGCCTGGAAACAGCCAGGGAGGCGGCGGGCAGTTAAGCAGGTACATGTCTGAGCCCATCTGTTTCAGGGTGAGTCTCCTGTAATTTCCTTGCTTGCTGCCCTGTTCCTGGTCAGCAGATGCTGTGTCCCTTATGGAGAGCAGTGAACTGAGATTAGGGGTGGAGGACAGTGCTGAAGTCATCCTAGGATAAGATTTGCACAGTGGTGTGTTTAAAAGAGGGAGTCTGCTGGCCAGCAAGAAACCTGAGAAAAGGAAGAACTGTAGCAGGGAGGGAGAACATAAGGAACACAGTGGTTTAAAACACCTCTTCTGGAAAGCAAAGGAAAGGTGTGCTCTGTTCTATTACCAGCAGGGCTGTGACTTGGGTGTTCCTGTCTAATCACACAGTGCCTGTTTGCTGGCTCCAGGCAGCAGCTCCCAGCTGCTTTACTGGTGTGGAACGGGGCATACGAGCCCCTGAGCCGTGCTCAGCTTGGCAGACCTCCACAGTGGTGGAAGGGCTAGGAAAGAGACCCGTGGTGGCTCCTGAACCAGAACCCAGCTGCAGGAGGAGGGTTATACTTGAGCACTGCAGTCATCTTCCTCCCTCTTGAGACACTGTTTTGCTAAGTCACTATTTGTGCCAGTTCTGTCTCAGTGGAGGACTGATGCAGTTGACAGTGGAAGCTATTAATAGCCTTGAGTTTCTGGGAGAAAAATATAGGGCTTGAATGCAAGTAGGCTTGTTTTGTTTATAGTCTTTTTGAGGAAAATTCAGCAATAAAAGAAGAAAGAGAAAGGCACTGAGCTCTTTATACATTCTTGAGGTGAATTCCTTTTCTTGGCCTCTTTGTGATTTTCCAAAGATGTGTTGCTTTTTTCTGGCAAGCGACAGTGCAAAAGGAAGATATCCTCTAAATAAACATGAGTAGAGTGAACCTGTAGTAAATTCTTGGCCTTACAGGTCTAAGAGCACGATGATGGTCACAGCACCCAACTCACGTGCACCTTGCACCTCAGCCAGCGTTGACAGAAACACTCAGGGCAGGGATTTGGTGACAAACACACCTGCCTGCTTCAGACAGCCCAGTACAGGATGAGCCTGAGGAGCTAAGGGTTTTGACTGCAAATCTTTGTAATTCATCCTTCAATTATAAACTTCCTGGAATGTTTCTGGATGTGTAAGTGTGGGCAGTATATTGCAGGCATGTATGCGTGCCAGGGATGGGTTTTCAACCACAGGCTGCTCTCAAATGCAGGGAATTTGCTTCTGAGGCAGAAAATGTTACAGCTGTAGAGTCCAGTCTCTCTGGTAAGCCTGTTCCAGCTTTCACTCCCTGGGCTAAAATGATAGGGGACTCCTGTTCCACTTTGGATTTCTGCAGTAACTGCTACGGAGGGGTTCCTGCCTCTCTGCCTCCCTCCCCTGGGGCCTCTGCTTATCCTCTTACTTCCTCCCTTTGTCAGATCTGTCAGCACAGGCTGAGGTTTATGTTCTACCAGTGCTGTAAAGTCCCAGGGTGCTTGACAAGCAGAGTGCAGCTTCATTTCAAATGCGCTGCTGTGATCGGTCTTCTGCCCCTCAGGAGGTAAGAGGAGGGGGATAGGACCAGCTATTTTTGTGAGTGATACCTACGTCAGAAGAGTTAGTTAAGGATGACAACAAAAAACTTTATTTCAAAAAATTATGTATTGAAAATATACAGTAGTATCATCGATCTTCTCCATGACTCTGTCCCTCCCCAAGCACAGGTTAAGTCACGGGCACATCACAGCAACCAGGCTCAGCAATACTGGTCTCCTTTGTTACTCCCTCTCAATAGCAAGAAAACAACAAACAAAAGAGCCACTTCTTCCTGACTCAGTAGGTATTTAATAAATCCCAGTCCTCCACAGTGAGGCACAGATGCTTCTGTTTGGAAGTCCTTTCTCTCTCTGGTTCGGCCAAAGATCTTTTTTTACGGTTCTTTAATTCGTGGCTGTCCACAACCTCCTTTTTCAAAGGTAAAAGGCAATTTTGAACTTTTTCCTTATAAAACTGCAGGTTTCCAGATGCATTTGTTTCTGTCTCCACCAGCTTGCATTTGACTACCTCCTCTATTCTGTGTGTCTTGCCATCTAGGGGGGAAAAAAGATAATAAGTTTAGATTTTTGGAAAAAATCAGGATTATGCTGTAAGATGCATACTTGTGTTGTAAATTGTTTTGGCCAAGCCACTCTGGCAGAGTGACTGCTGAGATGTTCATAGGGAAAAAGAACATTTATACTTTGGACTTGAAATTTTAAGGAAAGGACTCAGTAATTCTACGTTGCCCTGAGCATGCTGCACGTTTCAGAGTTACCCAGCAGTCTAACAAATGAAAAAATTCAGACACATTGTCATGCAGTTCCACAGAGAGCTGAAATTTTACACCCGAGGTTCTATTTGTACTAAGAACAACAACAAAAAGCATTAAAATGTTCACTGTAGAAAAGAGATACACTGTGGTCTCTGTGCAGTTACGTACAGAAGTGCAGAGCTGCTGTGCTGGAGCTCACGTTGTCCTGTGGCTTGGTGGCCTCCATGACTGCCTGCTCCCACTGCAGAACTGTCTGAAAGGTCATTGGAAGGAGTTACAACGTTTCTTGTAAACTTTACAGAAATATCATTGGCAACAACCCTACCCCTTATGCTTTCCTATGCAGTGATTTAATACTCCCTAAGGACAGTTTCTGGAGAGCAAACCAGACGTAACCCCCATACCTGTTCTGCCCATCCCTCTGTTTTGCAGTTACTATGATCAAATTCTTTCAGAGGCACTTTGGAGAGAACCAGGCCTAGCTGTGTTTGGATCCTCTTAATGACAGCATTAACATCCTAGTGAACAGGAAATAAAGTAGTCAGGGGAGAAGAAAGTCTGATTACATTTTTTTCACTAAATTTAGATGCTTCTTTTTTTTTTTTTTTTTTTACCTTAAGACCTGTCCCAGAAATGTCCAAACAATTCAATTTCTTAAAAGAAAGAAGATAGCGGATTCCAGCATCTGTGATTTTAGGGTTACCTGCAACATTAAGAAAATTCAACTAAGTTGCAAGATATGGAGAAAGACAATCAGAATACCAAGAAAATATTTGGTCCAAAAGCCAATTTTGGAAGAAGGGGGTTTGAGTCTTTTTTTTGTAGTATGCTTCATGGTTTGAAAGTGAGTTGAGACTGTTTCATGTGAATCATCAAATTAATAGTATTACTTCAATATTAAGGAGGGTAATTTCTTTATCAGAAAGGATACAGGTTGCTTCTAGTATTTAACCACGAAGTACTTACAAGACAAGTCTAACACCAGAAGATTCTCAAGTCCCTTTTTCAGCACTCGTACTGGTGCTGTCATCCTGCGGAGGCCTGTGTCTGACAAGGAGTTGTCTTTCAGGAGAAGTCGTTTTACACTGGGAGGAGAGACACAAACGTGTAGTTTATAGCCATTATTTTAGACAGCTTTGAGAAATGGCCTAAAACTCTCTGTTGGAAGGCTGAGGTCTGCCTGTGCCAGCCCTCCAGTCTACTTTGTCAATGTTAAAAAGCAGCAAGGAAGAAGCCTGGGTTTAGAAGGACTAACAAATCTCTTTTATATTGCCCCTGTTAGCTCAACAGAAGCACCTCCTTCACCAGCTATTCCCAGAGCTCCAGTGACAAACCTGTCCTAGAGCACAAGCAGTTGCTAACAGAGACAATAAGGTTCTTCATACACTGAAGTTCTTTAACCAGGGCTGCCAATCTCAAATCCACTCAAAACTATAAAGAGAAAAATGCTTAAAAAAAAACAAAACAGGAGAGGAAGTATCTGGGAAAAGATGTGGCAAGGATTTGAAGTAAGCAATGAAGTATTATAACAGATAAAACATAGGGGAAAAGAACACTAAAACATTCTCCAGAGCACTTCAAAACAAAACCTTGATGCAAAATGCACCAACATTTTACAGCATCATAATATCCCCTAATTAGCTGAATCTTGAATATTGATTTCCAAACTTTTCTACTTTCCAATCTTTAGTATCAAACAAAATAGAATTATTTTTTTTTAAGTGTTAATTAACTAAATATTCAACCTACTGCCTGTAGAAATCTTCATCTGGAACACTGGTTTGCTTAAAAATTTGGCTCATAAAGTTCCCTCTTAAAAAAGGAAATCTGCATCTTAAGTATTTGGAACAGTTTTATACTTTTTTTACCTGGCCAGTGAAAATTATAGTTGATGTAAACCCATGAGACAGTAAATTATCTTGCACAGCTGTAGGACCTTTTATTATTTGTTATGTGCTTTGGATCACATGCTTTGTGTACAATAAATTCTGTATTTTGTTTACCTTAATGAGTTTTATCAAGAATCAAAATCTTCAAACTTACACACTGCTGCCTGGGAAACTTTCCTTTAAAGTCAAATCCTGATTCTTTGAACTGCTTAGTGCTAGGAAAAAAGCAAGTGTCATTTTTAGCTACGTGTCAAGAAATCGGTACCTAGACAGAGCCTCTTTGGTGAGGTGTTCCAGCAGTTCATGTTCATCTCCAAGTTTGCAACAGGAGAGATCCAAACACGTCAGCTCCCGGAAAGATTTAATTTCTTCTAGCTTTTCAGAGATAACCAAGTATCTGAGAAGAGGGAAAAAAACAAAAATCTATCAGTATGCAGGTACATAGGATGGCACCTATATCCACAAGTGTCACAAACACAATGCAGTCATTTCCTCTACATACGTATGGGAATACTGGCAGAAATTCACCAGCTGTCCTGACGACTGTTTTATGTGCATTCTGCACACAACACATCTCAGTTTCCAGCCTTCTCCTCGAGCAAATGTCATGGTTTTGCTTTGATTCAAAATATTGGACTAAAAATTAAGATTTCAACTTGCAAACATTGCAATTAGGGACCTCTGTACAGATTATTTTGCATTATTCTGAAATAATACAATAATACGCTTCCCAGTTTACCATCAATGAACTTCACAAACTGCTCTTCCTTAATATCTAGGAAGTGTGTAGGCAAACCCACACTGATCCAGGTGTAAAATATACTTTGGATGTATCAGGCTTGTCACATGGCAAACTTATACTTTCTATATACGTAAATAAAATACTTTACTAGAGATAAAAGTCCTACAGGACTCTAGCTAGAGCTGAGACTGCACCCCAGGCAGGAAACAGAGGGTTATTTTTTTAGCTGTGTTGATTCCCTGATCTGATTCACTCCACAGCCATGCAAACATCTGTGCTGGAACTATTCAGTAGGAGGTTCAGAGATGGGAACAAACCACTGAAGAATGGCATGCATGAATATGCACTAATAAGCACGTAGCCACCTCACCATCTCCCCTGCCTTTACTTCTCATCGTTCCCATGGAAATACAAGCCCCAAATTCACTAATCTCTCCTGAATTTACCCCACAGCAACTCAGACCTTGAGGTCAGCATCTTCACTGCTGAAATGAGGGATGCTTCCCAATTCCATCCTTCAAGGAACACCTCTTTGGCCATGGCCCATCAGCACCCTCCCACTGCACATATACCTCTCAAACCACCCCACCACGTCCCTTTGCTGGGCAGTTCAGGTGTGCAAAAGGTACCACCAGAGCACAAGCCAGCTCTTGAGGAATACTACTAGCTCAGGGGGATTCTGAAGAGAAGAGCAGGCTCTTTTAGAAATAAGACTAATCAGAAAATGCCTTAATATCTGACTTCCTGGATTTCAAAGGCTCAATACTTCACTCAGCTTTCTGTAATGGCAAAAGATGCCAGAGGTAGCTTCATTTCTGAGTTAAGCCCATAAAAAGTATCCACGCTAGAGATAAAAAGTGAGTAGGTTTAAAGGATAAAACAAAGGATAACTGACCTCTGCTCAAACAATCCTACTGTGCTCAGAACACCCTTGGCACTTCAGATGAATATGCCTGCACTTTGATTTTGAACTGGATAAACCATCCCTTTTCAAGTGCACAGAGAGACGGGTTATATTACTGGGAAAGACTCCAGCAGGAGCAGGGCTTTAAAAATACAATCCAGTTTGAAGCTTGGTAAGGCTCTCTTTTAGTGTGAGACAACATGGATATTGAGAAGATGGAAGAACTGGTGCTGGACTCTAATCAGAATCTCGTTAAAGTGCCTTCACTGGGGGGATGGAAACCACAATAAACTAAGGTACAACCTGCCTGACTTCAAATCTTGTAACTTACCTACAAGACTGTACCTTCTTCTGAGCCTCCCAAACAACATGGGATAGCAAATTTACAATAAATAAACCCAGACTCTTTGCACGGGTGTATCTTATCTGTGATCTTGAAATGCTTATAAACAGCAATTACAAAAACATCCCATAAAATACCTGAGAAGGCATTAAAGACAGAGATTGCAGCATAAGTCTTGGTTATTATTGTGAAAAAAATAGTTGCAGGTTTAATCCTTCCCATAAAATCCCCTGTTAGTTAGCATGGATGTAATCTGTTACCTGTGTTATGATTTTTAGAATGAAACCAGCATCTGCACTTGTAGGAAAGGAATGAGATGAAAGGTAGCAAGCAGAAGAGTGAGATAAGGTCAATTCATTAAAATTAATGATGTCATAAGCCCATGAGATTTTTTTTTTTAAATTAGTTTTCAGAGAAAATAATTTGAAGACAACTTTAAGCATGCTAGCAAAAACCACTTGGTGGTGATGAGTTCCTGAGCACACTTACCTGTTCCTCAAGCATAATGAGCATAGCACCAAACTGCCATATGCTTCAGTAAACTTCTGCAGAGCTCTCAGTCCCGTCACCGGCTCTGTGAACTTCTGTCTTGCTTCTGCAGCAGAAAAGAGCTTTTCAGCAATCTGCTCTGGGAAGCCAATCAACGAGTCAATGTGATCAACGTTGTCAGAAATGTAACCCAGCACCAGGCTGAAGAGAGACTTGGCCGAGTACCGGAGGTTCCCCTCCTTGGTGTACGTGAAGATGAAGTGATCAGTCCTCTGCCTCCTTGCCCTGTCGTCCTCCCTGTTCATACAAAGCTCCACCGAAAATCCTCTGGGAAACAGCCTAAAAGGCCTCGTCTTGGGAGTGACATTCTGGATGCCGCCCGCACCCGGCTTTACCACGTGCAGCTCCCCGTTTTCACGCACGTATATTGGCCCAGCATCCACATAGCTCTCTGAGTGGAGACAGTACGACATTCCCCTCGTCCAGTTCTGCAGAACCAAAACACCGGCAGGTGAAAAATAACCACAGAGGAAAACCCTACTGGGGAAAGACCCCAAGCCCTGGCAGCTCTCCCCAGCGCCCCGAGCACGGCCAGGTAACCCCGCCGCGTGGAACAGGGTCCGTGATGTCTGCCACCAA